AATGAGATCTTTTTGCTGAAATAAAGAAAAATCCTAAAATCTATATAGAAACACCCACACCCGAATAGTTAAAGGTCAAAAAGAAAGGTAGATTGCTAGAAGCAACACACTTCCTGATTTCAAATGATATTACAGAGCTATGACAATCAAAAGAGTATGATGCTGCCATCAAAAAGATACAAAGAGCTTTGGGCCAGAGTAAAGAGACTGGAGATAAACCTTTACACATATGGCCGACTAATCTACAAAGCTGCCAAGAACACGCAATGGGGAAAGGAGAGTCTTCAAGAAGAGTGTTGGGAAAATTTCATGTCCACACAACAGGCTGGTGAGAAGTAATTGGAAAACACACGGCCAAGCATCTGTCTCCACAGCAAAGTGCCAGTGCTGAAGGAAGAGAGCAGCCAGCAGCACAGCACAGAGGCTGGCAGTCCTGGCCTGGCCAAATAGTGGGACTACCTCTCCCAGCCCAAAGTCTCACCCTTTGTAAAACAGAAACCCAACTTGCATTGTGTTCTGTGTCAAAGCTTAAAGCAGGGGCCAGTACCATGGTCTAGTAGGTTAAGCCCCCACCTGCGGCTGCAGCATCCCATAGGGACACCAATTGGTGTCCCAGCTGCTCCACTCCTGATCCAGCTCCTTGCTGATGGCCCGGGAAAGCAGTGGAGGATGGCTCTGGTCCTTACCTCCCTGCACCCATGTTAAGAGTCAGAAAGAGGCTCCTGGCTGTTCTCTTTTCTTCAGCCCAGTCTCTCTCTCTCTCTCTCTCTCTTTTCCTCTCTCTCTCAGTATTTCAAGTGAAAGTATTTTTTTATAAAAGGTTTAGAGTACTGCCAAGCACATAATGAATGACTCCTAGTTATTATACCAATATAAGACACATATAATAAGCACTTACTTATGTCAGATAAAACATTTGTGCTAAGACTTGCACAGACAGCAATATTTCTATTCTGAGCAGGTACAGAGGATGGCCTGGTGGGAAGGACAAGGCCCTCCTCCCTCTACAAGGTGGCAACACAAGGGACTGGGACCATTTTCCCAAACCAGTCTGGACTTTGGGCGAAGTCACCGCATCAATCTTCTTGTACCCACCTGGGTTTGCCACATGTCTACCGTCACAGCAGAACAGTGACTTTCCATCTCCCTCAGTGGCAGCCCATGCTGCCTGTCCCGCCCCTCCAATGGTGAAGCATCTTGGAAAATTCTCTGTGGCAAAACATGAGAGAGATGGCTATGGTGTCAGAGGTTCAAGGCTCTGGTGGCATCCTCCAAGGAGAATGACAGGAGCCGGTTCTATATGCCCTGTTAGTTACGTTTCAGGGGTTCTTGCTCCACCTTCCCTGGCCACAATTCCCACACAGCCTTTGCTGCTTGTGTTGAAATGACAGCCAGTCATGGCATGGAGGGAGTGCGGGTATCTTCACTCTCATTGGTGCCCTCCTCCCCACCCCCACCCCACCCCTACCCTGGGCTGAGCTTCTATAGAACTATCTCTGAACCCAAGGACCATGCCAGTGTGCTCACAACTACCCCAGGTAAACAGGCCTCCTTCAAGGGCAAATCTGATCATGACACACACCTGTTCAAGCTTCCCCTTGTCCTTAAAATGGAAAGCTTCCTGCCATGGTACAGCCACTGGTTGCTGTCAGGCCTCTTTCCTTGCCCAGCACCCGATACTACAGTCAAACCAGGCTTCCCGTCAACTTCTTAAATGTTCTCCAAGTTCTTCAAATTCTCCCCACAGTCCCAGGGCCTTTGCACAGTCATTTTCCATATCTGGAGCATTTCCGCTGCATCACTGCCCCAGTCACTCTTACCCAGCCCTACTCTTTACTCAGATCTCTCCCAACCACTGGTCATAACCACCTCTAAGAGAGTGTTTCCCCAAGCTGCTCCCTCCCTGGATTAGATCAGGTCTCCTGGTTCCTTGGGCTCCTGTCTTCTGCCTTCCTTTGTTTCACTTTGCACAGCTAAAATGCATAGAGAGAGAATTATAATTCTTTGTTTATTGTCTATCTTTCCCTATGGAGCTAAAACTCGAGCCAACGCAAAGGATACAACTGTTTTGTTCACATACTAACCCCGCCCAAAACCCTCTGCAGGGGACTTCTGGCAGAAGCTTAGCAATAGCAGCTATTGAGTAAGTGCTTGCATCTCTTCTACTGGATGCCCAGAGGGTAGGAAAGCCCTGTGGCATCAAAAATAGAGCACAGGAGTGGATGCCAGCCTTGCTGCCTTCCATGGATGCTGGGACTTGAAGCAAATCTGTTGCCCTCTTAGAGAGGTGGGACATCTGGTTTCTGTTCAAGCCATTTCTGTTTTCTGTTGCTAAGGCTCCTGATTCTAGACTCTTTCTTCCAAAGAGACATAGAAATGAGCAGTGAAATGGGACGGTCATAGAAGAGGATAAATATCCCCAAAGAAGTAAATCCTTGGGGCCAGTACAGTATCAGCATCAGAATTATCCTCCACCCTGTGGTGCCAGTATCCCATATGGGTGCTGGTTTTAGTCCTGGCTGCTCCACTTCTCACCCTGCTCTCTATTTATAGCCTGGGAATGGATGATTCAAATCCTCGGGCCCCTGTGTCCACATGTAGAGACCTAGAAGAGGCTCCTAGCTCCTAGGTTCAGATCAGCCCAGCTCTGGCTGTTGTGACCATTTGGGAATGAGCCAGAATATGGAAAATCTTCTCTCTGTCTCTCCTCTCTCTCCGTAAATCTGCCTTTCCAAATAAATAAACAAATCTTTTTTTTTTAAGATTTATTTTATTTTTATTGGAAAGGCGGATATACAGAGAGGAGAGACAGAGAGGAAGATCTGCCGTCCGATGATTCACTCCCCAAGTGAGTGCAATAGCCGATACTGTGCCAATCCTAAGCCAGGAGCCTCTTCAGGGTCTCCCACACCGGTGCAGGGTCCCAAAGCTTTGGGCCGTCCTCGACTGCTTTCCCAGGCCACAGGCAGGGAGCTGGAAGGGAAGCGGAGCTGCCGGGATAGAACCGGCGCCCATATTGGATCCCGGGTGTGCAAGGCGAGGACCTTAACCACTGCGCCACCGCGCCGGGCCCAAATCTTTTTTTTTTTTTTTTAAAGAGCAAATTCTTTTGCTCTCCTTTCTGTTGGAACATTTGTCCCTGGAAAGCGACTTTCAGAACCACAGCCAAATACATACTTTGCCTTCTGTAATTGAATTCTTGGTTCCATTACTTAAACCAGTAACCAAAATTTCCCACTGCCTCTCAGCAGAAAGTGGGCCTAAGCCACCAACAGGAGTTCTACAGGCCTGATCATAGCTATACTCTAACAACTGAATATAAGCAACTCTTTTAAAATAAGTCAGTTGCAGGGGCAGGTGCCATGGCGTAGCATGTTACTCCTCATCCTGCAGCTTAGCACCCATATGGACACCAGTTCAAGTCCTGGCTGCTCCATTTCCAAGCCAGCTTCTTGCTAATGACCTGGGAAAGCAGTGGAGGATGAGCAAAGACCTTGGGTCCCTACACCCACGTGGAAAACCTGAAAGAGGCTCCTGGCTTCAGACCTGCCTAGCTCCAGCCATTGCAGCCATCTGGGGAGTGAACCAGTGAATGGAATCTCTTTCTCTCTCTCTCTCTAATCCTTTCAAATAAAAATAAATAAATCTTTTTTTAACAAATCAGTTGCAATTGTTTATGTGTCAATGAATAAAGATTTTGGGCGCCTTAACTTTTAGGATCTCCTTTTGTCCTAGAACACATTTCTTCCCCCAATTAATTTTCACTCCTTCTCAATTCCTTTCTTAGAGCTCTAGAATTAGAATGTCTAGCCTTCTTTGGCTCAGAATGCAAAGCAATAATTATCCCACTTTGCTTCCACAATTGCAGCCTGTGTGTCTCTCATTTGCACACTTTATCACCAAACATCATCTAACTGCAACAGAGAAAAAAAAGACACTAAGGCAAGAGCACCACACTAGAAGGAATCAGATTCCAGTTCCACCCTGAACAAGACGTCTTCTTTGGAAACTCGCACTGGGCCGTGTGTCGTGTTTTACATGTGGAAGCAAGGTTCCTTGTCAGGTGTTAATTGAATGTGTGTTCCCTCTTGTTGAAACTAGCCTCTGAGAGGCCTGGAAGGCTGCCAGCAGCCCAGGCACCTGAGCACGACACTCAAGGACAGGGACTTGTGGGAAACTCAGCATCTGTCCATCTGACCTTCGTGGCAGCTTTCCTACTGGAAACCCCTTGGCTGTGAGTGCTATGTAGAGGTCACCAAAGGCAGACCCAGGCACGTGTGTATGTTCAAGGTCCTCTTTGCTTTTATGCACATTAAATAAACTAGAAGTGGGGGAGGCATTAGACTTGGCAGTTCAGATACCACGTGGGACACCTGCATCCAGTATTGAAGAGCCTGGACGCCAGTCCTGGCTGTGATCCCAATTATACCTTACTTACGCAGACCCTGGGTGGGGAGAGGGGAGAGGGTGGGAGGGGCAGGAAGTTAATAGCAGAAATAGCCGGGCCCCTGCCGTCCATGTGGGATACCTAGATTGAATTCAGGGTTCTTGGTTCAGCCTGGCCCAGCCCCAGCTGTTGTGGTCATTGGAGGGAGTGAAGCAGCAGATGACAGATCTCTTTCTGTCTGTTAGTCTGCCTTTCAAATTCACCTTTCAGACAATGTCTATGAGATCTTTCAGAAAATGCCTACAGGACAATAACCCGGGGTAGTGCCACATCTGCTGTTCTGTCAACTCACTCCAAACACGTCCCTGTCCTCATGCTTCACACCTGAAGAGTTCTTAACAGAGAGCTTTTAACAACAGAGAGCTTTTTTGTGTGTAGACACTAAGATGCAGACCAACCAAGCACCACCTCTCACGCCTGCACATTCATCTCCACAGAGCAATCCCGGCTGCCTCTGTGTGTCGCTTGCAAACTCCTTCTCCCATGCTGGGCGGGGGGAGTCACATCCCTCCTGGTAAAGTGGGATGTGCCAGGGGGAAAAATCAACACAGCATTCTCCAAATGCTCAAGTGTTTATTGCCAGGCTTGTTCTCTTTAAGCACGGCATGGGTAAAGGTTTCCTTTGTTTTGTGTTTTCATATCCTCTGCCATGCCATCTCGGGTGTTGCCAGGCATCAGATGGAATTTTAGCAGGCTAGGCATTCTTGGCTGTATGTAACAGCCCACCTTGAAACAAAAGGTGACCAGCTCCCTGTCTCCCCCACCCCCACTTCCTCCAATGCTTTCCCCCTCTCTTTTTTCTCTCCCACCTCTCTCTTCTCCTTACTGCTCTGTCTGCCTACACACACACACACACAGAGTGTGTCATTAGGGCAGCTGAGGGCATTTGGAAAAAGAAATAAGCTAGCATGCTTGTAGGCGCCTTTCATGCCTCCTTCTCAATGCATGTAAAACAGCTGTCTTCATAGGCTCACGACCCAGGCTCACCTGCTAATGCTGCGTGTCTAGCAGAGCTCTGTGGTTACCATCAAGTGTAGAGAGGCTGGGTTCACGGGTGATTTGTATTCCCACAGAGCACAGTTACCTGCTAATGCACGGAGTCTCCATCTGGAAAGCAGAGGAAGTGATGCTTAACACAGGCACAGGGGAGGTATCAGTCGGTGAGCAAGCGTTTCTTGGGCCCCTACCAGGTGCTTAGCCCTGTGCCTCAAGCCATCCTATGAAAGAGCAGAGCTGTGCCATGCACTTAGGTGGGCAAACCTCTTCACTTTTCTGAGCATTTGTTGCCTCGCCTGGAAGATAGAAGCAATAATAGTACCTATCTCCAAACGTTGCAGGGAGGACTGATGGAGAACATTGATAGAAGAGCAATTTGTCAGTACCCAGCTCAGTCCAATCCTGGTCCATGGTCATGGTTGGTGTGGATCTTTTTTTTTTATGATACAATTCCACAGGCTCTGGGATTTCCCTTATGCCCTCCTCAAACTCCTTCCCTCTACTGATTTCCCCCATTTTTTAACAATAGTATAGTCTTTCATAAGTAGCCATAAGCCCATCATTGTGCTATCTAACTGTATCCTGACATAGCAGGTACAGACAATGGCAGACAATCCACCCTCCTATTATCAAGATATATTTAAGAGTTTTATTGCAAGTCCATCTTTGGTTTGGAAGTAGAGATGCATATTGCATTGTATCTTCACATGTGGATATGATAGTGTCTATTACACATTTACTATACATTCCCATAAATGAATAGCCATACAATAAAAACAACAACAGGAATAAAGTTTTAAAAATTAAAATACAAAAACCCTCAAAACACTGTGAGTTAAGTCACATGCTACTGAATAACCAATGTGTCGATAAAAGGACAAAGAAAAAAATTCCTAGAGAATATATGACCGATGAGACATTGAAGAATTTAATAAAAGAAACTATTTTGAAGAAATGAAAATAAAAGCAAAAATAACTAAACCCATGAGTTGCAGCAAAAACAATATTGAAAGGGTTGTTGTTCCTGTATTTTGCATGAAGCCTTCCTTATATCAGAAAGAATATGGTATTTGTTCTTTTGGGATTGACTTTCTTCACTGAGCATAACGGTCTCTAATTGGGACCATTTGGTTGCAAATGGTAGAATTTTATTCTTTTTTAATAGCTGAGTAGTATTCCATGGAGTAGGGTTCTGTGCCGTAACCTGGAAGCTAAAATCCTTGTCTTGAATGTGCCAGGATCCCATATGGGCACTGGTTCATGTCCCAGCTGCTCCACTTCCCATCCAGCTCCCTGCTTGTGGCCTGGGAAAGAAGTAGAAGATGATCAAAAGCCTTGGGACCCTGCACCCATGTGGGAGACCCAGAAGTCCCTGGCTCCTGGCTTCAAATTGGCTCAGCTCCAGCCACTGCAGCCACTTGGTGAGTGAACAATGCGTTATCACCTCCAGGGCACCACTCTGATCCACTCATTTCCTCCCACCTGGATTCCGTAGTAGCTCTGAGTGGTCCTTCTTCCCCACTGGCCCCTCCCCTCAAGGCTGAGGCTGGAGTAACCTCAGTAGAGGATAAGTCAGGCCAGACCCACTCCACCCTCAGAAGCTTCCAGTAGGGCTCCCACATCACTCAGGTCTGATACATCTTGCAAGATCCAATGGGTCCTCGTTACGTCTCTCACGTTGGCTTCTCCTCTCCCATTCCCTAGTCACACCAACTGCCTGCTCTTCCTTAAGCAGACCAGGCATGCCCTGGCCTCACGGGTAAGTGCTTGGGGAGGTCAACAGTTTTCCCCCATCCAAAGGCAGTAGAGCTCTTCCCTTCTGCTCTGCAGTGACTTTAATCACATACCTCTTCCTAACGTCCCTACATAACCCTGTGCCCACTCCACAAAACTTCCGAGTCCCCTTGCTTGCCTTGTTTGGTGCCACAGCATCTATCACCCTGCTGGCAGACTCTGTATTTTACTGGCCTACTTTGCTTAGTGTCTGTCTTCCCCTTCTCCTGTGGGCAGGGATCTTGGTTACTACCCTCAGGGCAAAACTGTGTCTGGCACCTAGGGAGTTGGACAGGAGTGGTGTGATCCGAGCTGTGGCTCGGAGAATGCATTGTGTGGCCTAGGAGTGGGTGGATCAGTTGGGGGATGATTGATTGCGGCTAGAAGACTATTTCAGTAGTGCGAATGAGTGTGATGGGGCTTGAACCAGGGGAATGGGATGACAGATGAGGTTTAGGAAGTATTCATGGGGTTGGTTGTCGCCGACCTGCAGCGACAACTAAATAACGAGACACACTCTTGAAGGTCTGGGAAAAGCCGAAACCGCAACCGGACCCCTTCTTGCCAAAAGCGGCTGCTTTTATACTATTTCTCCACTGCTTTTCCCCGTTCTTGTCCGCATACTTTTCTCTTTGTAGGTCTTACTGCTTTTGTACTGCTTTTGTACCCGTCTCTGCTGCTCTTCACCGTTCTTGTCCCCGTACTTATCCTTCCGTAAGCCTTATTGCTTTTGTACCTGTCTCTTTTACCCCGTTCTTCTCCCCCATCCGTCATTCTTCTCCCCAGTCCTTCTTCTCATCCGTCATTCTTCTCCCCAGTCCTTCTTCTCCTCTTTATTGCTTTTTGCAGCTGCTTTTTTTTGACTTTTTTTTTTATTATTATCACATTTTTGACAATCTTTACATAGCTAAAAAGGGTCAAGGGCTATAAGAAAGTGGGTAAGACTATTATTTCCATATTGTTACCTTCATGTTTAAACGGGGGTATTAAGGGAGAAGACCCACCCAATTTCCCACCCTTCCCAGGTCCCACATGTAGGGTATGCTCCGAGGTTCTTGCTCAAGTGGTTTTGATAGTTCAACAGTTAGGAATCGCTGACAATCTTGCCACTCCAAGCACTATGAGGTCTTTGAAGAATCCACTGATTGACATAGTCCATCATAGAGTCTCCGTTTGCCCTGTATTTTGCTGACAACATATAGCTGAGATGGTTGATTGACCTGTTCTGTCTTCTCTCTTTTCTTGGTTAGGGTTCTGAGTCCAGCATTTTGATTGGGGAGATCTCCAAAGACACTTTGTCTGAGGTGTTCTCAGACCAGATTCTTGTATGTACTAGCAAGTACAAGGCCCAGCACAGTCCATCGCCCTGATCAGCTAGTGGTTGCAATCACAGGGTTGGTTCTGTTTTCAGCCCCGACTTTCACTGGAATCAATAGGTGTTGCAGTCCAGCCTGGTTCTACCCAGCACATACTCGGCCCTCGCATAAACTAGTGGGAGCTGCAGCCTAGTTGGAGTGACCCACAATAACCCCAACCAGGCCTGCCCCCTACCCTGGTTTGCCAGTATGTGTAGCAGTAGTCCAGTCTGTCCCACAGCCCATTCCACCCCAGCCCCTGTACTAGTTTTCGTGCCCTCCCATGGAAGTGGTAACCCAAGAGGGAGGAGCCCACTATTTCCCTCCCAGGCCTCTCCCACTCCTGGATTGTGCTCTCTCCAGGTAGTTCTGTGGTTTGACTTGACAGAACTGGCCCCAGTGCCAGCTTCTGCCAGCTGATGCTGTGGCTAAGCCCAAACAACCCTCACCCGCTCTAATTTTGTTTGCACCAGTAGGAATAATCAGCCCAGCCTGGCTTTTCCCTGATCTAGACCACCTGAGGCGTACAGGTGTTGTAGCCCTGCTTAGTCTGGTCTGCCCCTATCCCAGCTCATGCTCCCCAGTGGGAGTAGCTATCCAGCAAGGGAACCAGCCCTTATTCCCCTGCCGGCTCTGCCCCCTCCCTTCCTGGTTCTCACGCTTGCTGGTTGGGCACTGTGGTCACTTCTGGCACAGGCAACCTCACCCTGGCATTCCGTATTGTGCACTGGTCTTTGTTGTGACTGAACCTAGCTCACACTGTTATGGTGCTTGGATTTGCCAGTGGATGACTTGAAGATTCAGCCTGGTCTTCCCCCGACCCATGCCAAATGCATGCCAGTGGGTAGCTTTCCATGGCCTTTCCATGGGCTGTTTCCTATCATGTTTCTTGCGTTTACCTGCCGGGTCTGTGTCCTGCCAGAGGAGTTGTCCAGGCTCCTCCATCAGAACCTCTCCCAATGCCAGATTTTGCACATACCAGTGGATCCATGAGCCAGCCCTACTCAGTTCATCTCCTGTCTTAGCAGGAACAGTTGCTTTTCCTGCCTGGCCTTCAACCCAAACTGGTCCTTGCTGTTGGATATTTCAGCCCAGCCATGGCTCGTCCATACCCACATATGGCTGCTTTTATACTGCTCTCCACCAATCACTTCTCCCTGTGGTTCGTCTTGGCATTACCTGATAGGCCAGTAGCAATGACAGAATCACAGCGAGGGCATCAGCCTATCCCTGTGACTTCCTGTTTATCTGATGGTGAGACCAACCCCACCTCCTGGCCCTGGGTCGGCTGCCAACCTACAGCAGCCTTTCCTATTCCTATTCCTGGGAGCAGTTCTGGCACCCCGCTCCCCACCGTTGGTGCTGTGACATTTCAGACTAAGCCTCTGTCTGCAGTGTCAGCATCCCACATGGGTACAGCTTCCAGTCTCAGCTGCTCCACTTCCCATCCAGCTGCTTGCTAATGTTCCTGGAAAAGCAGCAGAGAATGGCTTAAGTCCTTGGGTCCCTGCACCCACATTAGAGACCCAGAAGAAACTCCTGACTCCTGGCTTTGGACTGGCCCAGCTCTGGCCATTTGGGAAATGACCCAGTCAATAGAACATCTTTTTCCATGTTTCTCTCCAATCTCTGTAACTCTGCTTCTCAAACACAAATAAATAAATAAATCTTCAAAAATGCATTCAGGAAGCAAGTGGAACAGTTATAACAGCTCATGGAAAGAGGAAACACAAAGCTCTGCATCTTTCCCTTGGAGGACTGGAGTGGTCAGGTTCGTTACCTGGGACCAGGAAGAGAGAGGGAAGGCACGCTACCTCTAAGGGAATACATGTAGGCTTATTCCTTTCCTGTGCCATCTACATCACACACACAGCCAGGTGCACGCCTGCACACCCATATAATATATCTGGCAAAAGTGTGCAATCTTCAAACTCCATTCCTCCACTGCGCCACACTGCCAGAGTCAGGCCAGATATCTGACTCCAAAGCCGCTGCCTTCAAAAGCCACCTGTGCCAACCACAGCTTCATTTCACAGCAACGACAGCACACTCCAGATGGCCAGGTTCTCAATCACTTTTTAATTAAAGGAACAGCTGATCCAGACCTGGCTCATTCAGCATCTCTCTCGCCAGGCCTTTGCATTCTGCATTGATCTTTGCCTCCGGCCTGCTGAATCACTAGCCTGTGCAGCTCAGCAAACATTGCTCCCATTTCTACACGGACTTTGGGCCAGTAGACCACATAGGGTTTGGCTCTGTCCCTTGATATACAATGTAATGTTGCTTCAGTCTCCCTGATGACCTGAAGTCAGGGATTGGTAATCTTGTGAGCTCACGTATTTTATGAGCCTTGCTAACGAAGTCATAGTTGTGTTGGTTTGTAGAGGTCCTTTAAAAGGTGACTGTTACTTATTGGGGGATGGTGACTGTGGGTCTTTGCAAGAAACCAAGTGGGTGATGTCATGCAGGTGGTGTCACATGCAATGGCCCACAGGAGGATTAAGTGGGCAGTGCAAACCAACCCAGGTTTTGCTCCCCACTCTGTGTGCTTGTGGGCCTCTCACCTCCTGGAGGAGGTAGCTTGGTTGGATTCCTACAAACGTGAGATATAGGCAGTAGGGACCTACTTCCCACTGGTTGGCAGTGGTGTGCGATAGCATCACTTGTGGTCCTCTGTATAATGGTTAGCACAGCCTGACTTCAAGGATGGACATTGCCCGCTGCTCTTTGAAGCAGCGTTACTTGCTGTACTGTGTCCTCCAGCACCTCACAAACAGCACAATTCTTTATTATGCACTTAGGAAAGCAGGAGAAGTAATATAAAGAATGATTGCTGAGCCTTGGCTGGAGAGGCTGTGCCGACCTGAGTCAATGTCCAGCTGAATGCTTTACCTTATTAGGCATTTCTTAGCCAGGTCTCCTAGCCCCCGGGGTCACCAGGCCTTGCACACAGTTGCTTGGGAAACAAGTGGCTCTTCCAGTGCATTGTATTAAGCCCATGGGCTCACCAAGGACTCCTGTCTTACAAAAACAAGGGCCTTAGAATATCATAGCCAAGACTTGGCATTCTTGTTGCCCTCCCTGCTGACCCATGCCTTAGGACATGCCTTAGGACATGCAGAAACTGTCTTGGTACTCTTGGTACTGAACTCAACCCCAGATCCATTTTCAATACTGCAGCTAAGCAAGCAGTCACTAATAAGGAATTCAAGAGCTTTGCAAGGGCATGAGGGGGGAGGGTGACAAAGAAACACTAAAACCCTATGTCCTCCTGTCTGGTCCTTCCCAAGGGTTTGTATGATCAGATACACATGTACAAAAACAAAATGGCAGCAGAGATGTGATGTCTTAAAAAAGAGCCTGCAAGTCCACTCACCTCCTTCAGGATGGATGATGTTTCACTCATTGCTCCCGGATCTATGTCCACATCGCAACTGGTAGCTCATATGACAGTGGATAATATCCCCTGCTCACCACCTTAGAGCCCTGGAAGCTGTTTGATCAAGTGGTATAGCGGGATCAACAGCAATTCAGAACTTTGAACTATCAAAACCACTTGAACAGGACGCTTGCAGCATGCCCCACACTGGGAACCCTGAGGTGGTGAGGAGGCTGGGTGTGGCTATTCCCCTTATCTCACCCCTTCCCTCAGACACAGGAAGGAAAAGAGAGTGTAGAAACAATGACCTTACCCACTTTCCTCTAGCTCTTGATCCTTTTGCAATCTAATCAACTATGTATAAATCATCCAGAATTTTAAAAAATTTAAGATTTTATTTATTTTCATTGGAAAGGAAGATCAGATTTATTTTCATTGGAAAGGAAGATCAGATTTATGGAGAGAAAGAGAATCAGAGAAAGATCTGTCTGCTGGTTTACTCCCCAAGTGGCCACAGTGGCCAGAGCTGAGTTGATCAAGAACCAAGAGCCAGGATGTTCTTCCCAGTCTACCACAGAGTCCCAAAACTTTGGACCACCCTCTGCTTCTTTCCCAGGCCACAAGCAGGGAGCTGGAAGGGAAGTGGAGTAGCAAGGATATAAACCTGCACCTACATGAGATCTGCTGCATGCAAGGTAGGGATTTAGCCTTTGAGCCATCCCACCTGGCCCTAGACAATGTTTCTTGAAATTGCTCCATGCCAGGCAATGTGTTTTGGACTCCAGAAAAAAAAAATCAATCTTATGGCATTGACCTCAGACCTGTACTGGGAACTGTTCCCTCCAAAATAGCCTTTTTGCTTATCTGTTCCCCCATTTGAGTGTGTGAGTGTATGTGTGCACCCCAATGTTTTCACTTATGTTCTTGAATTCACATTAGTCATTTGAAAGTTTCACTCCATGACCTGGACTCTGCAGGTGCTTCTCTCCATGCTGTGCAGCCCTGAGTGCACACTGGAGGCAGCCACGGAGCACCGAGCATCCACAGTGGCATGCAGCACTCTACGTGGCCTGAATCAACATCTCTGGGATGAGACCCAGGCATCAATACATTTGAAAGCTCCACAGGTGCTTCCGGTGGACCTGGGTCAAAATCCCACACAGTCAGTTTCTATTCCCTAAATGAAAGCAGGCAGATGCTCCTCCAGAATTCTGTCGATTGTGAAGGAAAGCTCCCAGGGTTATTGCCACAAGCTCAATCTCAAGGAAGTGCCACCATTTTGTTCAAAGAAAAGTAACTTGAGTCTCCAGGTCTTAGTTAATGAAGTCATCATGTAACAAGGGAGAACTCTTCATGGAGCTGTTAACAGTTTTAACTTCCAGAAACTGTCAGGCTCTGTTTGGTTCCTTCTCCTTGGCACTTGCTGGAGAAGTAAGACTGTCTGGAGAGCAAATATTTCCCCATGGCAAGGCCCTGCCCTGAGGGTGGCTGAGAAAGTGACACATAAGTGACTGTTCTGTCCCCTACCCCACGCCTCCTTGTATGTCAGTTTCCTCAGGCTTCTGTCACAAGGTACCCTGACCAAACACTTAACACAGCTGGCATCTCTTCTCTCACACTTCTGGATCCTGGATGTCTGAAACAGAGGTTTGCATGGGATCATGCTCCTGCCAAGAATTCCAGGGGACATCACTGCTTGGCTCTTTTCTAGCTTCTGCAGATGGCCCACAACGCCTGTCACTCCTTACCTTGTGGCTGCCTCACTGCCATCCCAGCCTGTTGTCCCATGGCCTTCCTCCCTTGTGTCTCTGGGTCTCTGCGTCTTTCTCTCATTGTTTTCATGTCCATCCTAGTGTGGTGGACCTCATCTTAGTGTGATGGCCCTCATGAAGATCTTGTTGGCAAACAAGGTCGCACTGACAGGTCTCAGTGGCAGGTCAACCCAGGATGCCTTATAAACCACTTGCAAAGAGTCTTGTTTCCTGGTCCTGAGATGCAAACAGTGGAGACATCTGTCCAGCCTCTTTGCAAATCGATTTAGATACTGAGCCCTTCTGGAGGCTATTAGAAAGCAAGCTATGTACCCAGGGTCAAAAGAAAACAATGCAGCTAATTAGATTGGCCTTTTGAATGTTCTTAAGCCAGCAAGATGAAAAAGACAAACATTGTGCTTTTGTTTTATTAGATTTCATTCCACATTTTTACCATGAGGTTGCTTCCATGCCTGTTTATAAATAGCGAATGCGGAATATTTAACATGCAATGAAATCATTTTTTTCCCTAATGAAACCTGTCATACACACACACACACACACACATACACATGCACACGTGTGCACCTGAACTGAATATTACTGATTTTGCCAGATGAACCTTAAAACTAGTCATTTGGAGGATCTCAAAGAAGCACAAAAGGGTGCCGCACTGTTACTCAAATTCTGGAGAAATGATCACAGAATATCAATTGCTCCTGCCTCATCTACAATTTCCTTGGGCATAATGCAAGGCAGGCTTTAGGCGCATTTATTGTTTGTGTTGCTCTTCAGCCCCAGACCCCAAGTGCATTCACACAATTAAGCCACCATTAGGCTTTGGATAAACGCTCCTAGTTCTCCAGGGTTCTTAGGCTGGCCTTGGAAATTCACTACTCCCACTTCTATGTCTTCCTATCATTTGGGCTGTCACCTTGGAGATAGCACAGCCCACATGGGCTTCTCCCTGTGAAACAAGGTCCATGATCATTGGCTATGGTCCATCAAGGAAACTACCATAACTTACCCTCACAGCCAAAACATACTGGCTCTGTGTTCAGAAAGGCAGCATGCAGAATAGGGCAAAGCGTAAGGAAAGAAGGAAGGAACAAAAAACACACATAAAACAAGGATTGCAGGCTCTAAAGTTGGATTGCCTCGATTCAGTTCTTAGACCCATTTATATGAGGCAAGATACCTGACTTCCTGTCTATCCCTATAATAAAGGCAGCACTTGCTTTATGGAGCTGTGTGGAGGTAACACAACAGTGGATGCCGCAATTGCCAGACACTTGGGGTGTTTGGTCCAGTGCATGAATCTACAGTGTGGGACATCCACAGCCCATATAGGAGTGCCTGGGATTAAGACCTGGCTCCTCCACCTCCAATTCAGCTTTGTGCTAATGACCTGAGAGGCAGCAGATGATGACCCAAGTGCTTGAGTTCCTACCATGCACGTGGAAGATCCAGATGGAATTCCGGCTCCTGATTTTGACCTTGCCCAGCCCTGGCTGTTGCAGAGAGCAGGGGAATGAACTAATGGATGGACAAGCTCCTTCTGTTTCTGTCTCTATACTATTCAAAGAAGGAAACAAACAATCTTTACAATGAATGTTATCCCTCATGCTGTTGAGAGTCCAACTCAACAGCAAAGTTCATGGTTACCTGGATCAGCCTCTTTATAGTGCATGCTAACAGAAAGAAATGGTCTGATTGATTAATGATGCCTGCCTTGGGTGTGGAAAAGAACAGTAGTATAAACCACATAAAACATTTGCCATTCCTGTGGGAATCATGCCAGGTTCACCACTTTCATCCCAAGGTCCACTTCCAATGCTTTGCATGTGTGTTGCTAAATAATTCACTTGTAAGTGTTTCTTACTGTAGTGATGTTAGGCAGGAGGTGAGGGAATAGGAACTAAAAGTAGGTTCAGAGCTTTGGACAAACTCTGTCTCCCAATATGTGTGAGTCAGACTGTGTGTTAGTCAGCTTTCCATCACCGTGGCAAAATACCTGAAAGCAGCTCCTCCTGAAAGAAGGCTTACTTCAGGTCACAGCTTGGGAGCTTCTCGGTCCAAAGAGGAGTGGTGCTGTTAGCTGAGCATCTACTGAGGGTGTTCTTGCTGACAGAATCCCCAAAGCAGTGCAGAGCATCCCATGACAAGAGGGTGTGCCGACTGTATGGGGAGTAAGTACCATATAGCCCACCAAGAGGTAGAGAGGGGAGTGGGACTCAACTCCTGCCTTTATAATCGGGCTTCTCTCAAGAACTGCCTTCCAAGGCTGTATCCCTCAAAGCCCTAAAGACCTCCAGTAGGCGTGTCTCCTAGACCCCGGCATGGATTCTGTTCAGACCTCTTAGCACCATCAGTTTATGATGTATGGATTAACTATCTGTGTGAGGCCAGGAGTCATTTTCCTATTCAAACCATAGCAGATACAGATGCACCAGCTGATCGATCCCAGCTTTGAATCCAACTGGGCTGAGTGTGAAAGTGAAGCAAGCTTGGAAGCCTAATGGGCTAAGACTGAAAAACCAGAGGAGAAATACTTTGAAAAGAAGATGCCCAGATCCTTCCTCACAGGATCTAATGTCTTCGGAATAGCCAGGAGCCCTGAGCAGACCTCAGAAACAGAAGAACAGTAAACTTCCTTCGGGACTCGGGAGGGGATCTTTCTCTGGTCCTTACTTAGTTCCAACTTTGGATCACCACCCTCTCTTGCAATGACCATCAAGGTCGCTCTGGATCCTCCCCACAACCCTCCCAAAAAATTAGATTACATAGACAGAGACCAATAAGGAAAGCTTAGAACCAGACAGGAAATGGTCAGCTTGGACTCACACATACCTTACTAGGTAGGACACAAAGATTAGTTACTCCTCACTAAGGCATTGAAGATTTCTCTGCACACCACCCCTAAAACTGTTTTGTGCCTCAACACTGATTGACAATCCTAAAATTCACCAAGTTCAGTAAAAATTATGCTCCAACACTATAAACTGCTAAATACAAAAATGAATATAGACACGAGACAAGTAAGTAGTACCCTATAGCCATTTTTTCCTTTTTTTATTATTATATTTTTTACAATCTTTACATAGTTAACTGGGGTAAAAAGGTTCAAGGGCTATAAGAAAGTGGGCAAGACTATTATTTCCATATTGTTGCCTTCATGTTTAAACAGGGGTATTAAGGGAGAAGACCCACCCAATTTCCCACCCTTCCCAGGTCCCACATGTAGGGTATGCTCCGAGGTTCTTGCTCAAGTGGTTTTGATAGTTCAACAGTTAGGAATCGCTGCCAATCTTGCCACTCCAAGCACTATGAGGTCTTTGAAGAATCCACTGATTGACATAGTCCATCATAGAGTCTCCGTTTGCCCTGTATTTCGCTGACAACATATAGCTGAGATGGTTGATTGACCTGTTCTGTCTTCTCTCTTTTCTTGGTTAGGGTTCTGAGTCCAGCATTTTGATTGGGGAGATCTCCAAAGACACTTTGTCTGAGGTGTTCTCAGACCAGATTCTTGTATGTACTAGCAAGTACAGGGCCCGGCACAGTCCATCGCCTTGATCAGCTAGTGGTTGCAATCACTTGGGGTGGTTCTGTTTTCAGCCCCGACTTTCACTGGAATCAATAGGTGTTGCAGTCCAGCCTGGTTCTACCCAGCACATACTCGGCCCTCACATAAACCAGTGGGAGCTGCAGCCTAGTTGGAGTGACCGACATTAACCCCCAACAGGCCTGCCCCCTACCCTGGTTTGCCAGTATGTGTAGCAGTAGTCCAGTCTGTCCCACAGCCCATTCCACCCCAGCCCCTGTACTAGTTTTCGTGCCCTCCCATGGAAGTGGTAACCCAAGAGGGATGAGCCTACTATTTCCCTCCCAGGCCTCTCCCACTCCTGGATTGTGCTCTCTCCAGGTAGTTCTGTGGTTTGACTTGACAGAACTGGCCCCAGTGCCAGCTTCTGCCAGCTGATGCTGTGGCTAAGCCCAAACAACCCTCACCCACTCTAATTTTGTTTGCACCAGTAGGAATAATCGGCCCAGCCTGGCTTTTCCCTGATCTAGACCACCTGAGGCGTACAGGTGTTGTAGCCCTGCTTAGTCTGGTCTGCCCCTATACCAGCTCATGCTCCCCAGTGGGAGTAGCTATCCAGCAAGGGAACCAGCCCTTATTCCCCTGCTGGCTCTGCCCCCTCCCTTCCTGGTTCTCACGCTTGCTGGTTGGGCACTGTGGTCACTTCTGGCACAGGCAACCTCACCCTGGCATTCCGTATTGTGCACTGGTGTCTGTCGCGACCAAACCCAGCTCGACCCACACTGTTCTGGTGCTTGGATTTGCCAGTGGATGACTTAAAGATTCAGCCTGGTCCTCCCCTGATCCATGCCAAATGTATGCCAGTGGGTGACTTTCCATGGCCTGTTCTAGGCTGTTTCCTATCATGTTTCTTGCACTTACCTGCCGGGTCTGTGTCCTGCCAGAGGAGTTGTCCAGGCTCCTCCATCAGAACCTCTCCCAATGCCAGATTTTGTGCATACCAGTGGATCCATGAGCCAGCCCTACTCAGTTCATCTCTTGTCTTAGCAGGAACAGTTGCTTTTCCTGCCTGGTCTTCAACCCAAACTGGTCCTTGCTGTTGGATATTTCAGCCCAGCCATGGCTCATCCATACCCACATATGGCTCTCACATGGCCCGGTAGGGGCTGAGACCTAGCCTAGTCCATCCCACATCTACCCTGGTCCTCCAGGACATTAGAGGATGTTGGAGTCTGGCCCGGCTCGGTGCATCCAATCCCAGTCCACATTTGTGTCAAGGGAGACTACAACCGTGTCCCGTTCAGAACACAGCCCCCATTCCGGACCACACACCCCTTGGTGAGAACCTCAACCCAGCTAGGGTTGTCCCCTTAGCCCCCCAACCGGGCCTGTTCCCAGCCATAGATCATGCGTATGCCAGTGGTTGCTCTGACTCAGTTTGGCTCAGTCCCTCACCTGTCCCGACCTCTGCCTTAGACACTGTGACTTAGTGTTCCTGGCTCATGCACACCAGTAGGTTCAAGAGCCTTGCTCAGCATGACCTGTGCTCCCTCCCGGTCTCCAGTTTCACTCATGGGCTAAGGTTTGCTCAGTCCTGCCTGGCCCACCTGTTCCATTACCAATTGACACATTACCCAGCTGTTGGAGCCACTTTGCCTAGCTTAACCAACTCCCAGGTGTGGACCACATGTTCACCAGCAGGAGCTATGATTCGCCAAGGGAGTTTCCCAAGTTCCTCCACTTGATCCACTCCCAGACCCAGTTCTCATAGATGCCATTGGATTTAGGCCAGGTTCCAGCACCTGCGATGTCTGGCCTTCCATTTGGCCTTGTATGAGCTGGTGAACATTGCAGCCTGGCTCACCCCACACCCTATTCAGGATGCACATTTGGGTGCTGCTGCCCTGACCAGTCCAGACTGTTGGGGGTTCCTTTACCTGTGGTTGATGGTCGGCTCCTTGGTCACACCTAGCTTAGTCCATCACTACCCCATCTCTTGAGCTAACCAGTGGGGCTAGAATTTCTACAGGGTTTGGCCCACACATCCCTCACAGAATCTGCCCCCGGTATGGTTCTAGTGCTAGTTAATGTAATAGCCCTGCCTAATGTGACCTGTCTGCTGATCCATCATCATGTCAGGTAACAGGATATGATTCTGCTGGACAAGCCCTGAGCCATACCTTTTGCATGGACTGGTAATTGGTGGTCATCATTGTTCAGTGATTATAAGTTTTTCAAAGAAAGAGTTACTGCCATTGGGGATCTTTACGATTGCTTCACATCCTAGAAGCACAGTGGATTCAACCTGGATCTACCTAAGCAGCGATTCAAAGAACCAAAACCCTAGAGCTCCCCAGCCAGGCAGCCAGCAGGCAGAGCCTGGCACCAAATGGAGCACTGGCCGTCCGGAGACAGCTCACCACGTGCACATGGTGGCTGTCGTCTGGGATCCAGGCATGAGACGCCCCATCCTGAGACCCACCAGCAGCCAGGAGGCTGCTGGAAGTTTAAACTCCCAGACCCAAGGTCGCGCCCCTCCCCAATCCCATTCACCGCCCAGTGAGGACAGCGGGTGGGCCCCAGACCTGCCCAGTCATGGAGTCCACCCCTCTCGGTGTACTCACCCCAAGGGAGCAGCTCCCAGAGCCCAGGCAGGCCCAGGGTCAGCTCACCACGTGCACATGGTAGCTGTGGTCTGGGATCCAGGCATGAGACACCCTGTCCTGAGACCCCCCCCCATAGCCATTTTAAGGAGTATAGAAACCAGTTGTGTATAAACTAAAATTGAAATGTCAATGAAGTAGTCACAGGATGTGGTTAAGAACTTGCATTTTCTAATATTGGTCACTCAATACCATGTCAATTAACTCCATAATGCTGTAAATTATTGTTGATGTTATTTTGTGGCTTTTTATTGGATGGGATGATATTCTGCCAGCTCTGTTCTCAGACCAGAGATGGTCTCCCCTAGAAACTGTTGAATTTACCTGGACAATAAGATGCTGGACTCTATGCATGGTACATGCTTGCAATGGAAGAATCATGAATGGATTGGAATTCCAACACTGCAACAAGGTGGAGGAATCCACCATGAGAGGAGGGCTGGGCAGGGTCTTGGGGGAATCTCAAAGCCTATGAAACTGTGTCATAAAATGAAATGAAATTTTAAAAAAAGAAAAATACTTTGAGGAAGAAGTCACAGCTATCCCAGCTTTAGCACATCAAAGCCCATGGGGCTTAGCTGACGCTAGGCCCTCTCTGGCCCTCAATTCCCTATTCAAAAAGCAGAAACAATAGTCCTAACTATGGATATTTTGACTGCAAATGGAATATCTCATGCATAACAACATACTACAATGAACGGCTGCTTTGCAAGAATAAGAAAATAAAGAATGTAATTCTACCTACCCATCAAGAGCCTAACAAAACACCAAAAATCATTGAAGGCAGTAATATTCAATGTATAGGTATTTTCACAATTTTTAGCCAGCCCTCCTTGGTATTTCTCTGTCTCTCCATCCATGACTTCTCTTTCTGCCTCCTGAGATGAGTATTTAAAAATCAATTAATCTCTACCTTACAACCTGGCTCTTAGTCAAGGCCTATGGAGACTTCTGGGCTGTCATCTCTTCCTAAAACCAGAAGTTAGATTTTAGCCATGCTGCTCACTTTGGAAGCTAAATGTCAATGAGATACATGTGTGGCCCCTTTCTGGACAGTGGGAACCAAAACCAAGAATTCCAAGTGCTGCTCCACCAACCACATCATTTTCGGTCACTGTGGTCATGGCTGTGTGATCTTGGGTAGTTCATGTCCACTCTCTGGGCTTAGGATCCTGGATCAGCCTGGAACCTGTGCTCAGGAGAGAACAACAGCTCAGAAACTTGCTGTGTTGTGCACAGGAAGGGAGTCCACTGAGTTAGCAGCAGCTACTGAAGGGTGACAGGCATGGACTAAGAGGAAAGATTCCAGAAGGATCCTCTAGCCCACACTGCCTGCAGGAGCCAACCACAGCAGTGTTCAAAGTCTCGGCCACAGCCCAGCATCCATGAGTCCCGGATAAGCAGAAAACATTCATTTGCTCCGGGCTCTTCCCAATCCAGTCAAAGATGACAGCTTTCTGTAGCTGGGTATGACTGGGACTGTTTATTTCGGATCTGAAGCAAAGAAAATGCAAACCTCTGGGCAAGACAGTAACAGATAGAGCAAAGTATAAAGGTGCCTTGGCAGAAACCTTCCCCCTGAACCTGTGGACTCCTGGAGTTATTTCTGACCTGCTTACAAATTGTCCAAGTTGGACGTCAGAGAGGGACTTTATAAAGCACCTGTCAATGATTAAGTGTTCTCTGAGAAAGAATTCGAAAGACACAAAAAGCGCCAAAGTGGGTCAGGTTCTTCCCATACTTTGGGTGGCGGGGGTGAGGGAATCTTACAGAGGAAGTTGTGGTGTTTGTCTCAGGGTGAGCGTTAGGGTCACCTGGCCAGTGCAGGCTGGAGGTAATGCAAATGCTAGCACTTGACCTCACAGCTAAGATGTTCATCCCCCTTGCTTCAATCCCAGTCAGGGGCTGGTGTGAACATTTTGGTGAAAGAACCAACAGAATGGAGTGTCCTTTCTCTGTTTCTATCTGACTCTCAAATCAATGAACAATGCTATGTGTGGGTACCATTCCTCATGTAGGCTGGATCACACTCCCTGGTGGCTGGGATAGGACTTGTGGAAAGAGCTATGTTGTTGTTGCTGTTGTTTTGGGACGCTGGTTTCTTTCATCAGCCCGGGAGATTCTAGGGTGCTGCAAGAGTGGGAGCTCTGTTGGAAAGTTTTCTCCAGAGCTGGAGGCAGAGGCTCGAGTTGTTCTGTAGGGACTGTAAGAGCCCAGAGGTAGCCTGGGAAGAGTCATGGCAAAGACAATGACTGCAAGGTAGCATGGTGGGAGAAGCAGGAATCTGAATCTAAAAAACCTGCAGCATTAATGGCTGACTCTGACCCTAGGAAAAGGTAAAAGAATGTGTCTCAAGCTAGGGAAGTCAGCGGGCTGTAGGACAGACTCTGTGCTTGGCACTTTGACAAACGATGTATTATGCAAGAATGATGTCACACCAACCTGGTGAGTCAGGTGTGCCTGCACCCTGCTTTAGAGGAAGGAAGGGAGGGAGCATGCTCAGCTAAAAGTCCCCGGCTGCCTGCCAGCTGGGGTAGGATCCCAGAGCAGGTTCTGACTCCAAAACTAGACACTGAGCAGTGATCAAGAGGCTCAGTTTGGATTTTGCTGGAATGTTGAGCATGATTAGGTACATTTAACAAAAAAAAAAAAAGATTTCTCTATTTTTATTGGAAAAACAGATTTACAGAGAAAAGGAAAAACAACAGGATCTTCCATCCGCTGGTTCACTCCCCAAGTGGCCGCAACAGCGGGAGCTAATCCAATTCAAAGCTAGGTGCTAGGAGCTTATTCTGGGTCTCCCACGCAGGTGCAGGGTCCCAAGGCCACAAGCAGGGAGCTGGATGGAAAGTGGAGCAGGGTCTGGCATGATAGTCTAGTGACTAAAGTCTTCACCTTGAACGCGTCGGGATTCCATATGGGTGCAAGTTCTAATCCCAGTGGCCCCGCTTCCCATTCAGTTCCCTGCTCGTGACCTGGGAAAGCAGTCAAGGTGGGACCAAAGTCTTGGGATCGTGCACCCACATGGGAGACCTGGAAGAAGCTCCTGGCTCCTTGCTTCAGATTGGTTCAGCTGCAGCTGAGTGAATCATTGGATGGAAAATCTTCCTCCCTTTCTCTTCTCTCTGTATATCTGCTTTTCCAATAAATAAATCTTTACTACAAAAAGGAAGGAAGGAAGAAACAAAGAAAGAAGAAAAGAAAGAAAATGGAACAAGACACAAACTATCACCCATATGGGATCCCATTGCATATAAGGCAAGGACTATAGCTGCTAGGCTACCGCCACAGTCCTGATTAGACACATTTTTATAAAGAATGTTTTTAAAAAGAGAGACAGATTAATAAGGACATAAAACAATGATAGTGGTGATTCCCATAAACTGCTGAGCACTCGGGAAAGCCTGAGGAAGAGCCAATAAAATCAAGATCTCACGCCCCAGAGGTTCTCCCATCTCCTGGCTGGAGGTGGGCGTGAACTTGAGCTGTTCTTTCCCAGGTGTGAGAATACGAACGCTGGAACTGCCCAAAGCCATATACAACTGGGGCAACCAGCACACCTGCACCATGGTAACCCCGAACTCAGCCTCGCCCCTGAGTCCTGCAGCTCCCAAAGGACAGCAGGCCCACAGGGAGCAGCCGGAGAACAGGATGATCAAGCGGCACTGCCGGTCCCCATTGACAGGGCTGGGCATGTGCCCCACACAGGGCACCCTGGGTCACCACAGCCAGTCTCAGCCACCAGCCCACACTCCCCTGTGTCATCTCCGCCCGTCTCATGGCCCCAGTTTCCTGACTTGGTGCCCTACTTTCTATTTTCTGCTTTTCTGATTTTTCATTATGAACTTTTTCAAGAACACAGTACAGAAAATAATATAATACATACTCCTAGGCTTTATCAAATATTAACTTTCTTTTCCAAAAATACACATATATATAAACACACACATAAAATTAAACAAAAACCCTGCAGGTCCCATCGAAGCCTCTCCCTATGTTCCTCTCTTTGCCTCATTTTCTGTCCTCCTCCAAAGGAACCTGCTCTCTAGAATTTGATGCTTCTCAGTCCCATGGACAGCTTTTTACTTGTACCATATGCGTGAGAATCTATAAATAATCAAGAGCATATTGTAGCTTACTCCTAATGGAATTATCCTGTAAACAAGATGAGCTACTATCCTGTGAATAAATTATGTTACATAATACAAATAGTCAATATATCAAATATGATCTATAAATAAATATATTAATGTGAATTGAATTCAAGTGCCATGCACTTGGGCTTTTTTTTTTTTGTAAAAATTTATTTATTGGAAAGTCAGATATACAGAGAAGAGGAGAGACACAGAGGGAGATCCTCTTCTGCTGATTCACACCCCAAGTGATCGCAACAGCTGGAGCTGAGCCTATCAAAGCCAAGAACCCAGAGCCCGGAGCCCAGAGCCTCCTCCAGGTCTCCTATGCAGGTGCAGGGTCCCAAGGCTTTGGGCCATCCTCGACTGCTCTCCCAGACCACAGACAGGGAGCTAGATGGGAAGCGGGGCTGCCAGGACACAAACTGGCACCCACTTGGGATCCTGGTGCATTCAAGTCAAGGACTCTAGGTGCTATACTATCGTGACAGGCCCTGTTTTTTTGTATGTTTGTTGTTTTTTTGGTTTTGTTTGTTTGTTTTGTTTTTTGTTTTTACCCAGGACTTCCTTTAGTTTGGAATTTATCCATGTGGATATAGTTTGGTCATGTTTTTTAATACCAGAGCACATGCAATTATATGAAAACATGATCATCTGTGAACCCATTCTCTTCTTGACCTACAGGTGATTTTTTTCCCCATCCTCCTCCCCCTATTTTTCATGCTTTGAGCAATTTCAGGAGGAATCTTCATGGCCCTGGGTGGCTTTGTCTGAATGACAGCTTCACAGGGGTGGGATCCCTGGGTTGGAGGAATACTCAGCTTAGCTCTGGGCCCCTGCCTCTCTTCAGCCTCTCTGCCTGGCTT